CTCCATCTCTTACATTATTATCAAGATCCATAACCCTTGATATATTAAGAGAAGGTTAAGGAATTTATAATCTCTTGAGGAAAAAAAAAGCATCCCCTGACATCGGGAAACTGGTCTGACATTTATGGCCAGGTCTCACTCCACGTTACCACAGCTGGTGAGATGCTCACATGTTGCTCTCCTATCAGTCATAAACAATCTCACAGAACATCACTGTCTTAGTTACCTCGTCCTGTTGTAACAGAAATACCACAAGTAAGTGGCTTTAAAAAACAGAAATGTATTTTCTCACAGTTCAGAAGACTAGAGGTCCAAGTTCACAGCGCGACTCTAGGAGGAGGTCCTTCCTTGTCTATTTCAGCTTCTCTTACCCATTGCGGAGGAGTCAATTCGGATTCATGGCGACCCCATGTGTTACAGAGTAGAACTGCTCCAGAGGATTTTCTTGGCTGTAATCTTTATGGATGGGGCAGTTCTATTCTGTCAAATAGGGTCACTGTGAGTCAGAATTGACTCAACAGCACACAACAACAACAATCTTTACGGAAATCTTTATAGAAATCCTGGACTTTTCTGGGCTTCTAGGTGCATCTGTCTTATTTGTCTGTCTTCCTCTTCCTCCTTTGTGTCTCTGTGTCTATTCTGATCTTTTTGTAACTCAGAAATGATTAGGTTTAGGATCCCCCTACACTGGTATGACCTCCTTAACACAACAAAAGAAAAACCCTTATTTCCAGACAGGGTCATATTTATAGATACAGTAGTTAGAAATTCAACACATATTTTGGGGGGACACAATTCAATCCATAACAATTAACATAAGACAAGGTCACTCTGAGATCATGATAAAGTGAGACAGAAAACAAGTCACCACGCAACCAATAAAATACTTCCTTAGACCCTCTGCAAAATTACATAGACAAAGCCCAGATCATACAACAGGCTCTCTAACACTCTCTTACTGAGACACTCACAGCTCCCTATAGTCAGTGGTCTCCCTCACAGCAACAACTTGTCAACTACAGGTGTGTTCCTTGTGGCCTTTGGCTGAAGGGCATTGACACCCATTTCTCACAACACCTAACGCGAGAATATTGAAAAGAAATTGGCTTTGAGAAGACATATTTAGTCATGTTGCCTTTGAATTGGAAAAGAATAAATACAGGGAGAGGAATTTCATAGACTACGGAATTATACAGATCAGAAAACTGAAGCCAACAGAGGTGAAGTAAGTTGCCCAGAATCTTTCAACCTGCAAGCACCAGTCCACTGGGCCTTTATTTCCAGACAGTCTGACCACAGGGTCTGCACTTTTACCTTAGAGCTAATATGATACAACCATTATAAATGGCTTTCTGATGCTAGTAATATAATACTAGCATGGAAAATAAGATAATATAAGGATGAGTGTGTGTAATTTTTTTCTGCTTTTGAAATGTTTGTTTATATATTTATTTCAAAAGTGTTCACAGTAAGCATTTATTTCATTTTCTCTTTCAGAATTTTGTTTTCATAATCAGAAAAGAGTACATAAAAATACAAAAATCTATATATTAGAAAATGAAAAAAGAAATTGTTGGATTACAAGAGGAAATGGAATAATGACTAATTGGTTGCTTAGCAAGGCAGACAGATGAGATGCCCAGAGTAGACACTGGAAAGTGCTGAGCCACTTCTATGAGAGACAGAATCCATAAGATCTCCTGCATGAAGTTTAAGACTTCTGATGTAAAAATTTCCTTTCCATGGTGTTATGGATTGAATTACAAAAACCAAACCCATTGCTGTCATGTTGATTCCGGCTCATAGCAACCCTACAGGACAGAGTACAACTATCCCATAGGGTTTCCAAGGAGTGGCTGGTGGATTCAAACTGCCAGTCTTTTGGTTAGCAGCGATAGTTCATCATAGCTCTTAACCACTGCACCATTAGGGCTTCATGGATTGAACTGAATTATGTCCCCAAAAAATATGTATTGTAAATCCTAACCCCTATACCTGTGGTTATAATTTCACTTGGGGATGGGTTTTCTTGTTAAGTAAATGAGGTCATATTAGTGTAGGTTGTGCCTTAAATCTATCTCTTTTGAGATATAAAAGGGCAGATTAAGCAAGCAAAGGTGGGAGAAGACAGACACCACACCACATGAAGATGGCCAAGGAACAGACGAACGCCAGCTGGAAAGAAACAAGGACCTTCCCCCAGAGCCAACAGAGAAAGAAGCCTTTCCCTAGAGCCAGCGCCCTGATTTTGGACTTCTAGCCTCCTAAACTGTGAGAAAATTAATTTCTGTTTAAAGCCATCCACTTCTGGTATTTCTGTTAAAGCAGCACTAGATAACTAAGACACCTGGGAAATAGCTTAGATTAACAACTATGGCTGTTATCTAGTACTTCAAACCAAGATACATCAAGACCCTCTTCCAAGAAGTAACAATGAGATAGAACATGTAACACCTCCCTTGTTTAAGTCCTTTTGGTTTTAATATTTTTCTTACATTTTTGCCTGCTGTATAAATTTATAAATGAAAAAACCCAGCCCACAAGTGTGCCAAATGAAATAAAAGAAGGCTATGATTGAATATCAGTATGGTCAATTAATCTCTGTCTAGATAAAACAACAAAAAAGATCAGACTATTTGTTGCCACTTTTCAACAGCTGCCAGAACAAGCTTCCAGAGGCTCAGTGCAGCTGAGGGCAGACGGATCATTTGTCCATCAGCAGAGCTAAGTGACATGCACAGTCTGTGGTCCCAACGTCTAGTGACAGATTAGATAAAGACTTTTTCTTGCAGACAGTTGGAGAGGTGCAGGGTGGATCATGGCTACATAGTGGTTGGCATTGTGAGTGAACAAAGGGTGGCTCTGAGCACTCTCTGTCTCTTGCGGTTATGCCTTTTCCATTTTATTTTGATTAAAAGCATCATAGAGTGGGGAACGAATCCACTGCCATCAAATCAATTCCAACTCATGGTGAGCCCATGGGTTGCAGAGTCGAACTGTGCTCCATAGGGTTTTCATGACTATGGCCTTTCAGAAGCAGATTGCCAGGCATTTCTTCCGAGGCATCTCTGGGTGGGTTCAAACTGCCACCATTTCGGTTAGTAGCCCAGTGCTTAACCATTTGTGCCAATAGAAGGGGAAGAAATCCCTACTTTTGGAAGGACGTAAGCTACTATTAGAAATAAATGGGAAATCTTACCCCTCATCCTTTTTTTTTTTGAAGAAAAGCATTAGAAGGCACAAAGAAGGCACAAAGAAGGCAAATGTCCCTTTAATCCTGTCTGAGCTTTGCAGAGAGTAAGAAGCAGCAGATTCAAGGCCGACTGTGAGAAACGACAGGATGGGCGTAGATGGCCTCATTTCTAACATCACCAAGCGGAAAGACTATGTTGTGACATGGAAGAACCATCTCAGGAAACGGTTTTTGAGTTATCCTCAAGATCTTCCCGAAATTATTCTCATATTGTCTTTAATCTGCACAATTGGAGGTAGGTATAACTCTCTTTTCATTTAATTTTTAATTCTTTAGGGCTATATCTTGGAAAGCCACTATATAGAATTAAGGGAAGTAGCAACAATAGGAAATAAGAATTTTGTTCCTAAATTCATACCTTTTCCCCAAGATTTCCAATCAAATGAATCCAATAATAATCTGCCCCTGAGAAGAAACAAGTAGAATCTAATTTGCATGTTCTTCATCTCTGCTGGGTTCAAAGTTTTCACACATTATTATTTGTTGGGTCACAATTAGATTTAAATGACTGAGACAATGGAAGCAGATAAGCAGAAAATCAAGGTTTGGGGAATTTTATTGTTATGTCAGATACTGAAAATGATAATTGATTCATATTTTAAAATTAGATATCCCACCTCTTTTTTTCACTTGGACAAAGAATTTTCAAAGTGTTATGGCTTTTGGGTAGTTAGGTTACTTTTTAACCTACTCAGATTGGGTGTTCCATAGATTTTTGTCCAAATGGTAAATTATACCTAGCTCTTACCTGAAGAAAAAACACTGCAGATCAAAAGAAAGCATGCTCTTTTTTTGCACTTTCTTTGACCTGATTAAGAATTGTATTACAAAGAGCAGAAAAATTTAAATTGAAGCAAATGTTGTGATATTGCTTATTGCACCTTGATACCAAAATCCACTGCCGTGGAGTTGATTACGACTCATAGCGACCCTATAGGACAGGGTAGAACTGCCCCATAGGGTTTCCAAGGCTGTAAATCTTTATGGAAATGGAGCTGCTGGTGGGTTTGAACCACCACCTTTAGGTTAGCAGCCGAGTGCTTAACCACTGCACCACCAGGGCTCCTCTTGCACCTTGATAACAATGATAAACATTAGCTAAATAGTCATTATGAGCTTTCTAGTGTGTGATAGATAACTAGTTTTTCTCATTAGAAAAATCATTATAGTTAGTTCCTCATTGCTATGGGAAACAGCCAGGAGGTTTTATTAAAGTTTACTTATTTATTAACCTCTCATTGCAGGATTGCTAAAGAGACTAATCCCTGATTTACAGTTTGTACAAAAACTGCTATAAATATTTTAGTATAGTAACCCAGGAGCCAATGATTTCTAGGAATATCTACTCTAAAAATCTAAGGAGATTAGATACTTCACAGGAGAGGAGAAACAGGAACCTGGTGGATTAAGTTACACTGACGCTGTATACTCAAGAGTGAGGAAGTGTTTCAATTACAGGATGATAGTAATTGAAGAGTGGAACAGTATTTCATGGTCATCAGTATTAAGGAATCATATCACATAAACCAAAAAAACCAAACCTGTTGCCATCAAGTTGACTCCAACTCATAGCGACACTGTAGGACAGAGTGAACTGTCCCATAGGGTTTCCAAGGAGTGGCTGGTGGTCAGCAGCCAAATGCTTAACCACTGCACCACCAGGGCTCCATATCACATAAAAGTTCTATAAATGTGATATTTCATTGTCTTTCAGTAATGACTTTTTTTTTTTTTTTTTTTGCAGCATTTCTGAACATGCACTTGAAAGACTTTCCAATTCCTCTCCCTGTGATATTATTTTTATTTGGATGTGGTTTTGAAATATTAAGTTTTGCATCGTACCAGGTATGTATACTAAATGCGGGTATTTTGCACTATATCTAAGAGTCATATAAATATAACAATGAATTAAGAAAATTTGCAAAAATACTTCTTCCCTCAGGGGAGAGGTGGAGATTGAAAAACACTAAATATACAATAGATAAGCGGTAACTTTGGTGAAGGGTAAGACAGTACCCAATACTGGGAAAGCCAGCACAACTTGTCCAAGGCAAGGTCAAGGAAGCTCCAGAGACACATCCAAACTCCTTGAGGGACCGAATTACTGGGCTGAAGGCGGTGGGGACCATGGTCTCAGGGAACATGTAGAGCATCTAGCTCAATTGGCATAACAGTTTATAAAGAAAATATTCTATATTCTACTTTGATGAGCAGTGTCTGGGGTCTTAAAAGCATGCAAGCAGCCATCTAAGATACTCCACTGGTCTCACCCCATCTGGAGCAAGGGAGAATGAAGAAAAACAAAGACACAAGGGAAAGATTAGTCCAAAGGACTAATGGGCCACAACTACCACAGCCTCCACCAGACTGAGTCCAGCACAACTAGATGGTTCCCGGCTACCACCACTGACTGCTCTGACGGGGATCACAATAGAGGCTCTGGACAGAGCTGGAGAAAAATGTAGAACAAAATTCTAACTCACAAAAAAAGACCAGACTTACTGGCCTGACGGAAACTGGTGAAACCCTGAGAGTATGGCCCCTGGACACCCTTTTAGCTCAGTAATAAAGTCACTCCTGAGGTTCAGCATTCACCCAAAGATTAGAGAGGCCCATAAAACAAAGCAAGACTAAATGGGCACTCCAACCCAGAGACAAGGACTAGAAGGTAGGAGGGGGACAGGAAAGCTGGTAATAGGGAACCCAAGGTCGAGACATGTCGTGGCGCTGGTAGTCAATGTCACAAAACAATATGTGTAGTAACTGTTTAATGAGAAGCTACTTTGGTCTGTAAACCTTTACAATAAAAAAAACTCCTTCCCTCAATGTTCTGCCAGTCCATAGATACTTGTAATGTGGATGGCATCAGATCAGATGTGTAGGAAAAAGAACAAGGCTTGAAAGACTTGCAATCTTATTAAACATAGTCAAAACAGAGCCTAGGCCTGAAGCTTGGCAGGCAGTTCAAAATGAGTACACATACAAGTACAAAGAGTCTATGTGGCCAATGAGTGTTTAAGAAGAATTCTAAAGCTCAGGCCAGCAACAGACTAATAAAAATCCAAGGAGACTTTGGGCTGCTGGTACCGGACTCTAGCAGCAAAATATTCGATATTGAACCCATCTATTGCCTCAATTAGGAATGTTTCGTAGGTTTTCCATTAGAATAGAGGCCAGTCTCTAATTTTTCCTGGCTTAGAATATAACAAGAGAAATAAGGTGAACCTCTTTCTGGAGCTGGAAGCGAGGAGAAAGACAAACTATAGATATAGTCAAGGCAGCTACAGTATTACAAAATAGTTGGAATCAGGCAGGGAGAGAGAATACCGATGATAATATGAATGTATTATTGACACATTGAATAGTCCTCTAGCCTAGAGGTTGGCAAACTTTCTTCTATAAAAGGTCATATAGTATTTGAGACCATGAAGGGCATATGATCTGTCATAACTACTCAGCTCTGCCGTCATAATGCAAAAGCAGCCACAGACAATACAGAAATGAATGGGCATGGCTATGTTCCAATAAAACTTAATTTACAGTAACAGGCACTGGGCCAGATTTGGCCCATGGGCCATAGTTTGTCAACCCCTGTTAAGGAGCCCTGGTGGCACAGTGGTAAAGCACTTGGCTGCTAACCGAAAGGTGGACAGTTCAAAATCACCCAGCAGCTCCATGAGAGAAAGACCTGCTGATCTGCTTCCATAAAGATTGTTTAGGGACCCCTGCTGGCACAGTGGTTAAGCTCTCAGCTGCTAACCAAAAAGGTCAGTGGTTTGAACCCTCAGCGGCTCTGTGGAAGAAAGATGTGGCTGTCTGTTTCTGTAATGATTTACAGCCTTGGAAACCCTATGGGGCAGTTCTGTTCTGACTATAGGATCACTGTGAGTCGGAGTCGACTCAACGGCGACGGGTTTTTTTGGTTTTGGCTCTAATCAATCAGAGTGTGAATGAGGAATCTGAAAATGATTGACTTTTCCAAACAAATTTAGCCAGTGATGTTAAATATATATATATATGTATGTATGTATGTATATACAGAGAACACATATCATGTGAGAACAACTAACAAACTACTACTTCACTTTTTTGTCATAAATCAGTATTATAACCACATGATTTTGACATAAATGTAAATTTAAGTACTTCTACGAACTTAACTTTATCTGCTTGTCAGTAACTCTTTAAAGGAAGAGATTGTCTCTAAAGAACTCTAAAGGGCCTGAGATTTCACCCTACTTGCAGGCTAATAAGTTAGCCTGCCACTGTTTCATGTGTGCTGGCAGAAGACATGGGACTCCTGAGTCAGAGACAGAGGACTGTATTACTCACACAAGCACCAGGGTGTCAGTATTAATCTTGTCCAGTGCCCCTAACTCCAGCTTCTGTGAGGAGAAGCAAAGGGGCCAGGTGAAACCTGTCCACAGTGTGTTGCATTAGTGGAGAAGAAACCTGAGCTTAGAGAACCTGAATCTTTACAGTGGGTAGTAAGCTCATTTGCCCTCTGCACCAGAGGAAGACACTACTATAGGGTTTACAAGTATTGTCAAACAACTATTTCATGATAAACATGGTTAATTTTTCATTCATGAACTGCATAACTTTCCAGTCTCTATTGCTGTCATTCTTCCACACACATCGTCTACATAAGCCAAGACTAATTATTTCTACTTCCTGAAATTTAATACGTTTATTTACTCCTTTGTGATTTTGTATATGATGCTCCATCTACCTGAAATCTTTCTTTGTCTCGTATGCCTGAAAATCTCCTACATACCCTCAAGGACCCATGACAATATACTTCCTATACCCATTTAAGAATAAAATAAAATAAAATGGGCATAAGGTTATGCAGTAACTTTCCTCTGTAATTGGAAATAATCTGAAGTGGAACTATGAAAATCCAGTAGAGTTAAGACTTTAGCATTTATCAGATGGTGATATATCTGGTGTTTAATTAGAACCCTCTTTCTTGCTTGCTATAGATAGGAGTGCCTGGCATGTATTCTATGCTTATAAGAGGGATGGAAGGGTGGATAAATGAGAAAATGACTTATTTTTACTATTATTAGATCCAAGCTTATGCAAATGCCATTCAATGGATGAGTCCAAAATTATTTTTTGGTATATTTACACCAATAATTATCTTTAATGTTGCATTTGACATGGACGTATACATGCTCCACAAGTTGATTTGGCAGGTAAGGAGTATTCTTTTTTCAATAACATCGTTCATTCATGAACTAGTACATGTTATCTATGTTCAGATTTTTAAATTTTTTGCTCCAAAATAGAAAAAGAAAGACATGGGAAAATTACAGGGTAGAGGAGTAGTAAATTCAGGTTTATTTTTTAGTGAATAAACAGTGTCTTGGCAATTGGCTGTCATATTGGAGACCTAGGAAAAAATTATTGAGGAAAAGAGTAATTTTGAAAATCTGACAGAACTTAATACCAGTTTTACTTATAATCTGAGATCCTACCAGAGATCTATTATGAAGTATATTAGGTCCAGTAAAAGGAAATTGATGAGTAAACTTATTTTTTAAATGCCCACCTTCTGAAGCTTCCCACATCCACATGTAAAAAAAAAAAAAAAAAAAAAAAAAAATAAGCAGAGAAGAGAACTCAAAGAGACAGCTATAACCCTAATTCACAAACTATAAGGAATTTATCAATCATGTGAGATTTGGACCACCTCAAGGAGAGACCCTGAGAAAAAATACTCCAGCACTTAAGCAGGGTATCCATTTCTTTTGAAGTACTGTAATCAAAAGGGTTCTGTGAATATAAGGCCATTACCTAAACTACACTGTTGTTGTTAGGTGTCATTGAGTCATTTCGATTCACAGCAATCCCACGTGACCAAGAGAACTGCCGCATAGGGTTTTCTTGGCTATAATCTTTACAGAAGCAGATCTCCAGGTCTTAATCCCATGGTGTCACTGGGTGGATTCGAACCACCAACCTTTCAGTTAGCAGCCGAGCACTTAAACATTGCACAAAGTATTAGAATGATTTACACTTTAAACAGAATCCAGGCACTTGGAGTGCAGACAAATCACAAAAGGGTGAAATTGAAAAGAAGAGAGATATACAAGTGATCTGAGCTGACTCAGGTGATCTCTGCAGGGCATCTCCTGCATCTCTGCTCACCTGGTGGATCAGCTGGCAGCGGGATGATGGAGCTGGCCTCACTCAGGTGTCTGCTGATTGGTAGTGTTAGTGCTGGCATTGGTTGTGGCAATGGGGATTGCTGGGACACATATACCCCATCATTTAGCAGGCTATTCCAGGCCTCTTCATATGGAGGTTGCAGATTACCAAACAGCAACAGGAGAGCACAAGGCTCAATTTACCATACTTTTTTGTCTCTACTTGCATCACATTCACTTACTATTGCTCCTTTTGGCCAAAGTGAATCACTTGGTTAAACCCAATGGCAGTGTGGTGACGGAATATCCAGTGGTGTACACACAGGGAGCAGAATACTACAGCCACTTTTGCAAGCAACATACCGTGTGAATTACCTGGTGGAAGAATAAGGATTTGGGCCTCCTGACTCTCAATCCTCATGACTCTGTGTTCCTTTCAACAGGAGTTAGTCATACAATTCTGCTGACCACCAAAACTTTAAAATGAGAACTCAGCCACCCCAGAGTTATTGATCTAAGGGACCACGCCGTTTCTCTCACCACCCTGATGCTGTTTCAGTCTTTATCCACCCAAGCCTCCCGTTCAGTGCTGCCTGGTCTTCGCACCATACATGCACACTATCATTGTTAGAGATGTGTGATTAAGTGACTTAACTAAAGTTACTCAGTGCTGTTATCCAGGCCTCCTGAATCAGAGTCCAGTGCTCAGTCCCCACACCCATCTAATGTGACTTTGTGGGTACAAATGAAAGAGCAAAATGATCAGAAAGAAGAGAGCTTTAAAGCATTTTAGTTCTTCTGAATTCTTATAGGTGCCTTCAGGCACAATCACCATGTTTTCCAAAGTCTATTTGGGAATGAAATTTTGCTAAACATCCACCATAGGTAGAAGAAGAGTTAGCAAATGCAAGGCAATGGTAGAAAGGTTGAAGGCCAGGTGCCAGTTCTAGAATAAAAGGAATCTCTCTTTGTACATTTTCTGTAGTCCTCTGACATTTCCATTTTTTTCCTGTTGTCTTATCTCCTTTTTCCTCTTTTGAAACCTCTTTCTAACCTTTCTGTTTTTTCTGTGTTAGTCTGATATGTCTCATTTCCTATACATAGTTAAAACTATATACAGTAAATTCTTCTAGCACAACTAGATGGTGCCTGGCTACCACCACTGACTGCTCTGACAGGGATCACAATAGAGGGTCCTGGACAGAACTGGAGAAAAAGTAGAACAAAATTCTAACTCACAAAAAAACGATCAGGCTTACTTAAAAGGGTGCCTGGGGGCCATAGTCTCCGGGTAGAGAAACCTCGAGACTATGGCCCCCAGGCACCCTTTTAACTCAGTACTGAAGTCACTCCTGAGGTTCACCCTTCAGCCAAAGATTAGACAGGCCCATGAAACAATAATACCCGTAGCTCAACCATGTATACAAGACTAAACAGGTACACTGGCCCAGGAGCAAGGACAAGAAGGCAGGAGGGGACAGGAAAGCTGGGTGAATGGAAATGGGGAACCCAAGATCAAGGAGAGAGTTGACATATCACAGGGTTGGCAACCAATGTCACAAAACTATAATTGTATTAATCATTTAATGAGAAACTAATTTGCTCGGTAAATCTTCCCAAAGCACAATAAAAAAAAAAAAATTCAACATCATCTCCTGATAAAAACTCTCAGCAAAATACAAATAGAAGGGAGATTCCTCACATAATCAAGGCATATATGCCAAACCAATAGCCAACATTATTCTCAATGGAAAAAGACTAACAGCCTTCAGGTATTTAAAGGTACAAAGAGAGATTCCTTTTATTCTAGAACTGGCACCTGGCCTTCAACCTTTCCACCATTGCCTTGCACTTGCTACCTCTTTTTCTACCTATGGTGGATGTTTAGCAAAATTTCATTCCCAAACAGACTTTGGAAAATGTGGTGATTGTGCCTGAAGGCACCTATAAGAATTCAGAACATGACAAGGATGCCCACTATCACTGCTCTTATTCAATATTGTACTGGAAGTCCTAGCCAGAGCAACAAGGCAAGAAAGGGAAGTAAAGAGTATCTAAACTGGAAAAGAAGAAGTAAAACTATCTCTATTTACAGATGACAGGATCATTGTTGTTGTTATGTGCCTTTGAGTTGACGAGACGAAACACCGCCCAGTCTTGTGACATCCCCACAATCGCTGTTATGCTTAAACCCACAATCAACACTCATGGAAGTAAAATGAAATCCTTGACAACTTCAATCTTTTCTCCATTTATCATGATGTTGCTTATTGGTCCAGATGTGAGGGGTTTTGTTTTCTTTATGTTGAGGTGTAATCCATGCTGAAGGCTGTGGTCTTTGATCTTCATCAGTAAGTGCTTTAAGTCCTCTTCAGTTTCAGCAAGCAAGGTTGGTGTAACCTGCGTAACACAGACTTAATGAGTCTTCCTTCAATCCTGATGCCCTATTCTTCTTCATATAGTCCTGCCTCTCGGATTATTTGCTCAGTATACAGATTGAATAAGTATGGTGAAAGGATACAACCCTAACGCACACCTTTCCTGACTTTAAACCTCTTGAGCTATGTACAGGTTCCTCATGAGCACAATTAAGTGTTCTGGAATTCCTATTCTTCACAATGTTATCCATAATTAGTTATGATCCACACAGTACAATGCCTTTGCATAGTCATACAACACAGGTAAACATCTGTCTGGTGGTCTCTGCTTTCAGCTAGGATCCATCTAACATTAGCAATGATATTCCTGGTTCCGTGTCGTCTTCTGAATTCGGCTTGAATTTCTGGCACTTCCCTCTCGATATACTGTTGCAGCTGCCCTTGAATGATCTTCCTTTCATGTGATATTAATCATATTGTTTGATAATGTCCACATTCAGTTGGATCACATTTCTTGGGAATAGGTATAAATATGGATCTCTTCCGACAGTTGGCCAGGCAGCTGTCTTCCAAATTTCTTGGCATAGACAAGTGAGCACTTCCAGTGCTGCATCCATTTGTTGAAACATCTCAGTTGGTATTCCGTCAATTCCTGGAGGCTTGTTCTTTGCCAATGTCTTCAGTGCAGCTTGAACTTCTTCCTTCAGTACCATCAGTTCCTGATCATATGTTACCTCCTGATATGGTTGAATGTTGACCAATTCTTTTTGGTATAGTGACTGTGTATTCCTTCCATCTTCTTTTGATGCTTCCTGCATTGTTTAATATTTTCCCTGTAGAATCCTTCACTATTGCAACTCGAGGCTTGAATTTTTTCTTCAGTTCTTTCAACTTAAGAAATGTGAAGTGTGTTCTTCACTTTTGGTTTTCTATCTCCAGCT